ACATTATAAATAAACTAATTTTCATTTGGCACTGTCTACCAGCCAAATTCCGTTTTAATTGCTGTGTATTAAATCAAGCAAACTTATATAAAAATGACGCTTAATGAAATCTTCACTTGGATAACTCAATTTTAAGACCTATTATACAAAACACCAATTAAAACGAAACTGTAATAACTCGATATTAAAAACTTACTGCCGTGGCAAATTTGTGTTTTTAATCATTTTTTATGCATAATTTTATAACGACTAGGTGTATAGAATGCGCAGCGCAACACACTCTTTGTGTACACAAAAACATTTTAATTAAAAAGCACCGTGCTGTTACCATACTCTAATTATTTTTCTCGTAATAAAAACAGTAATATTATATTCCGCTTGTTCATAAGTCATAACGAACGATTTTATATATGAGTAAAATATTATAACAACAAATTCTCGAAGGATAACAATAAATTAATTCGGATTAGCTTACTCGGCTGACTATTATTTATACAGTAAAATATTTGGAGCTCCCCTCTTATCGATTTATGGTCCGACAGAATATATTGTATACTGCTTAGGTTGGTTGTATTTAACTGCATGCAAAAAAATTAACAAGCAACATAATACATTCAAAGTAATTTACTTTTATTGCTGCCAAACATGTATTTTATGGCGGTATTATTTCAATATAGCGATCAATGATATTACAATTTTTAATCAAGCTAATAGAAAATATAAAAATCCAAGCAATACTAAGCTGTATAGAAGTTATAACGCACTCTATTATTTGCTCATTACTTCTTGGATAACAACCCAATTCCCAAATGTGATGGTTTACATCCTGGTAAGCTGGTTTCCCTTGATTAATTATTAATTCAAACAGACCAACAAAGCTATAGTCTTCTCTCTCCGGTTAATTACCGAACATTATTGTGATGCTGGATAATTTGTTTAAAAACACATTTGGGTCATTCAATGCACTATTTGCATAGGGTTTATAAGTTTGAGGTATTTGGAAAATCCACTCGCGCACACATCAGGTGATTTGGCATGGAATGGCACATTTTGTATTTCATTCGTTGTACTAATTAAAGGGTTTAAAGTTCTACACAAAAACAAGTTGATAACATAACGGCTTTTTAAATAAAACGAGCTTAAGTTTATACGTCGAGTGCAGTGTAATTACTGTGCACGTTTTAAACTTCGCTTATATGTATAAAATATTATAACACATAATCAACTATGCTACTGTAAATCTTTTTTTACACTATTTCATGTTTGCTTTGTAGTTGACTGGATACTTTTTGGTATCGTCAATCATTCTGTGCATTTTTAATAGCAATATTAAAACAATCCGCAGTTGAAATAGTATATTATAATGTTATGTGATGTAGATAGTGTTATACTACAAGTGCCGTGTATAATGTATTGTTTTTTTTTTTTTTTTAATAAAGTTCTCTGAAGTCTGAATGCTAATTGTTGTACTCGTATGACAGTTGAGCATCTTTTTGAGTAAATTTAATTCGCCTTCTTCATCTTCGCCTTACACTCCCAACTACATGTGGTCCGCTGAGTAAGTCAAATTAAATTATAAAAGTTATTTACATATTAGCGTCACGACGACTTGGCTACTGTAAAAAAAAAAAATATGAGTACGAAAACAAGTATTGTATTTTCCTTTTTTCACTCAAAATAATAATACCACATCCAGTGTATAAAATTAACTTACAATTATGATTGTATTTCTTTAATAATTCAGCGATAAAAATCTAATATTATACCGCTTTACCTGTTTTTGTTTCAAGCATTTCGCAGGTACAATGTATACTCACACGTAGTAATATAATCATAATAAATTAAACGGTAGGTAGGTTATTAATTTGCGTTTTAATTTGTTTTAAATATGTATGCAAATTATTTCAGTACTCTACACAGTTTACTGTTTTTACATTATACAGTTGTATATATACAGGGTGATTCTTTTATCATGGACCGCTCAATATTCCATAGGGTTTAATAAGAAATACAAATTTTTTTTCATATTGTTTTTATAAAAATGTTCAGTGTTTTTGTTTTCACCCCCCCCCCCCCCCCAACTTAGTTGTTTTGATAGCAACTTTTGAAACTTAAACGGTAACGTATATATTTAATTAACTTTTTAAATTGAGAATAATGTACTAAAAATTTTTACTGGTCGATAACCAGTTTCGGAAAACTATTTTTGAAGTTATTGAATTTTCCAGTTTAGGGCAGGAAAAAAGGTGGAGTGTATTTTTATTTTTTTCTGCGCGCATTTCCCAGCCGCACTTCCCCTCCCATCTTATCTTTTAAACTCTTATAACTTAAAAAATAGTTATCCGAAACTGGTTATCGACCAGTCAAAAATTTTAGTACAATATTCTCAATTTAAAAAGTTAATAAAATATATACGTTACCATTTAAGTTTCAAAAGTTGCTATAAAAAAAAACTAAGTCGGGAGGGGGGTAAAAACAAGAAAAATTGTGAGAAAGTGAGATCACATTGTATAAAACATTATGGACAAAATAAATTAAATTATTAATTAAACCCAGTGAGATATTGAGTGGCCCATGATAAAAGAATCACCCTATATATATAATATTATAATATACATTTACAATCGTGATTGTGTGCAAAAATATTATAATATAATATAAGCCAGTATAAAAGTTGCACAAATAACGTAGGAACTCATTAAAACCATTTAAAAACAAAGCAATTAAAAATAATCGTTTCAGCCGGATTCATATTATTATGAAATATTAAATGTAGAACGTAAATAAATTTAACTAGTTAATTACATTATCATTAAATATTTTATAACAAAATAAATAATAAAATATTTTTGTATGACTGTTATGAACTAGGTACATATTACAATACGAATATGTATTATAGAACTAAATTATTATATCTCTATCTAGTTAATAGAATACAAATTATTAAACGAATAACAATATTTTATATACAACAGTACTAATAGATAAACTTATATTCCGTGGACTACCGCAAGGGAGTGTTAATGACACTATGAAAACCCCGCGGTCCCTAGTCATAAAGTGGGAGCAGAATTGCATATCACATCTAAGAGCCTACATTTACTTCAATTAGTTGAGGAAGGTAGGTATAGGTATATCCGCTTGCCAACAGCAAATCGGCCTCTCCCTAATTCCCAGTACCAAGCTAGGGGACCTACTTGACATCGAAAGGTAAAGTCGAATATCTATGGGACACCTTCGTGGCACCAGGTGCACTATGTTGTATACAGCCTTATTGTACCATCGGGCTCTGTTGCGATCGAGCTTTATTTTCCGACTTATTTTAGGAACATGGAAACCAATCAAAAAACACAAGTCAAGATTGAGATGAACAGGGTTCTAGAAATAGAAAACCTATCGTAACAGGAACGTGAGCTATTTCCTTTTTGCAAGGAGGTGACTAAATTAGAGATTCTGAATGCACAGAAAGAAGGGACCAAGAAAGTCGAACCAGCCGAAGACAAGAGGACCGAGACAACAGATCAGGAGTCTGAGGACCAACTGGAGGATATTGCTGAAAAAATAAATGATCTCCGAATCAAGCCAAAAACGCTTGGCGGAGCTCAGAAAACAAAAAAAATAAGAAAGCGAAAGTCATGAAACACCTATAAACAGGGAGGTAGTCCAAGTAGCCTTTAGCACGAAAGTAACAGAGGGTACGAAAATCAAAGGTCGAAGACCATGAACCACCCAAAAAAGTCAAACGTTGGGAGCCAATATATAGGAATGCGGTGACCAGTGACATAAAAGGGGCTCTGGTTTTCAAAGGCTAACCTGAAAATGGACTGACGAGCGAGCATGGGCAACAGATTGAATTTGTGTCGTTGACCTGATATTGTTGGACCTTGGGGGGACAGCATTACCAAGGTTTATTAGAATATTATAATAAGTTCATATTATATGTCCTATGTTTTGATTTTTACGATGAACTATATCATTATACTTAATAAACGATTATATATTAATTATTCAATGACGGATAGGAAAAACTAGACGTCAGAGGTTTTTTTATTGATATAAGGTATAAGGCATAAGCGCCATTAGTGGGCACTCCTCCCCTCCATCACAAACAGTTTCTGGGAAAATGTGAATATTTAATAAAACTTATAGTTTATAAAACTATGTAGCTTATTATACAATTTTTCGATTTGTGACCTATTTTGAGCGAATAATTTATTTTATTGTTTGTTGAAATTATTTTATGTGCTACACTATCCGTAGTATTCTTACTTATAAAATCAAATAAGTTCACGTGGATGATTTTCAGATATATCCGTGTCAATGGTTGTTGACCGAAGACTGACTGTACAGTCACGGCAGCGGAACGGTCGTGACAACTCTGAAGAAGGACTCTGCAAAGAGCCCGAAACGTCGGTCAACAACCATTGACACGGACATAATATTTGAAAATCATCCACGTGATATATTCAACCCGTGAAAGGTTTAACACATTCATATCAAATAAGTTAGAAGAGAAAAAAACAAATTAAAAAGTTCCTACAAGTAGATATGCCAATTATTTAATACGTAAATCTATTATCTTTTGTATACAATGCGATTAAAAGTTTACTCTGATTGACATAATAGCAGCAGCTATATTCCGGCCGTTTGATTTGTTGCAGTGTTTAATTTGTACAGCTTACTCGAAACAAATAATAAACATTATTTCTAAGTTAACCTGCGCCTAGAATTGGGCCTAGTGGTGATTGTATTACGAAAAAGTGGCTTTTCACAGGTCCAAAGCGTTTTAAAAAATCATAGACGACTCCACCGCACTGGCGTTTCACTGCCGAGCATATTTTACCCAAACATTAGGCTACTAATTACTAATTATTATTGTCGCGGCGGAGAGGGTAGTGTGCTCGCGACGACCGCGGTCGACGCGGGACGACGGCGTTTTGCGCGGGAACCCCTGGGCCGGCTACCGCGACGTCTGTCAGTCTGGCACCACGACGGTCCGCGTGCACAACCGCAGGGGCCGACGCCGCGCTACAACGATCACACGCACCGCCGCGCGAGCACACCACCGGCACCTCAGTCGTCGACCGGCGTTTGTACCGCGCGCACGTGTCCTCTAACCGGCCAACCACGGACAGCAACCCGGTAACCGAGCATCGCGAGTGTTTTTTAAAATCGTCGTTTTGTGTCGCGCGTTTTTGCGTTTGGTCAATAATATTTCATTCATTTTCTACGGCCGTCGTGTGTTGTAACAGCGAACTTTAATTATTATTTGTTTACCTCGTACAAGAGCGAAGTCGCCAAACCCCGTGTGACGTGTCGTGTCGTTTGTCGTACAACAACATTCAGGTGAGTGGAGAAAAACTACACAAATTCCAATTTAAAACCAATAAAAAGCCATCACGACGACCCGGAGACCGGCGGGTTTCTTTTCGTTGTTAAAAAATACAAAAAAAAAAAAATAACTCATTACAACTCCCCGAGGCACGCCGCCCGCCGTCACGCTGCGATTAATAATAATAATAATAATGGAGTTCGTGTGTATGTGTGTGTGTTAATAGACTCGGCTGATTTAATAATAATAATAATAATAATGATGATTATTATTTTATTAACCTAACCGAACATTATATATAACAAATTAGGTTTTCTTATGGGAAATTGCGACCCTGCGGTATACATGCGGTCCAATTTAATTTAAACGGATATTATACAGTTGTTATTATTATGCGAGTGAAAAAAAAAATAAAACTCAATTCCAAAAGTTCACGAAACGTCAGTTTCAGTTTAGCCAGAACGGTATATACTCCGGAAAAGGCTTCCGAGAAACTTTCACCGTTTTCATACAACGTCCTACGTACGGTTTACATGTTCTATAATATTTTTTTTAAATTTAAATTTTCCCGTGTCTTCAAAAAGGTCGGGACCCGGAAACTCCGGAGGGCCATGAGATGGATGAAAGTACAGACAACAACATTATTAAACGATAACTGCTATCTATATGGTTAAAGGACAGATCTTAGGTATTCGCGGTTTATAAAATTCATCGTACTTTATTGAGCGGCGACTTTATATAGAAAGAAATGCGGGTAACCCAATATTTTTTATAGTACATTCTTTTGATTTCTGTTTGGACCGGAAATTGAAACCCAACTTGATGCTGAGAAAACATGCTGCAAGATGCTGAAAATACGTTTTCCTTAAAATAATATTACAATGATGTTTGTTGTATTTTAAATAGTATAAAATGGAGAAAAAGGTCAACATGATCGGTAGTCTTGAAGTTCTCGATCCGTTCCTAAGGGACGTCCCTTAAAGAGTACCGCAGGAATCGTCAAGGATTTTGATTATTATTTGCAATTTCAAAAATTAAAAAAAAAAACACCTTAATCATTGAGTATGTAATTAACATTGTTGTTTGTTAATTTTAATACATTCATTTAAAACGGTAAATTATGTTATTATAATGTTATAATTACTGAACATGAAATATGTAACCTTACATGCCAATGTGTTCTCTATTAAATCGTATATTTACTTGTACGGCTATACCTGAATCGGTAGGTAATTTATTCCAACAATAGAACTATTAAACCTAACCTACCGTGTAATTATCTCGTGTAATGTACAACCATGTGCGATAGGAAGCGTTCGCGCACGTGGTCAACGGTTGTTTTGTATGTTTATTCGAAGGTACGTTAGTAAAATAGTGTCAGCGTGTTAGAGCCCCGGGATAGGGTGTGAAATCAAATCCAAAGGAGGCCAACGATAAGAGTAGAAGACGTGCCCAAAGGCTGACCTTACCGGAGAGACTGGATAAAAAATAAATAAAAATATTATTACTGTCGAAAAATGTAATAAATTAAAAATAACCTAACTATTGTACTTTCATTAGACAATGATAGAATATAATGCGTTTGCTGTAATGGTACATACTCAACGGGTATAATGTTTAATTAGTAAATAAATTGTAGGTACATTGATATGAGATAACCTAGTATGAAAAATCGTGTATTTAATTTGATTTAAAAAAAAAATTAAGCAAGCGAAAAAATTTTCAAAATTTTGCCAACAAGTTTAATTATATTTTAACGGGAGATTTAATGTTTAGAAAATAATATTAAACAAAACGTCGTTCAAGTATTATTGAAATATAGAAAATATTATCATTATATTTAAAATAATTTTAAAATATTTTCTTAACAATTAAACAACACTCGGTAAATAATACTTTTGAAGAGTTTATTTGTTGCCATAACATGATTTTTAATCATTGCGAAAAAATATTACCAAACTTATTAAACACCTAACCGTCGTCGGATGAATTAACCGCGTCAGTGACATTATACTATATAGGCAATTTTGTGCGTTGAACGTCAGCGAACAAATTCTGCTAAATTTCGTTGTAAACAATACTCTGTGAAATTCGCAAGTCGAAACGCAATTAACAGCAAACGCACAATGAACTTCCAATTATTGTTTTATTTTTCTGAATACTCGTTCGTTACCCTCGGGCGCGCGCACAAAAGGTTGCTGATTACGGGGCCATATACAAGTCATGAGGCGTATGTACAATAATATTGCGATTTTGGGGTAAAACGGTCGATAAAAGATCTCCCGCGGAGGGGGGGGGAGGTTCAGGCTAAATCAAAGAGGTCGCACACGACGACGACGGTGTTGCATACTTTATTGTACCATATCATCATCGCCGGAGCGAGAAATCATTTTAATAACCTCAAGTGCGCTGTATAATATGTGTGTGTATACTCTATACCTACTCTCTCTCTCTCTCTCTCTCTGTGTTTAGGCCGTATTATAATACACACCGTGTGCGTGTTGTGGCGGGGTGCGAAAACGCAATTACATAAGGATTGTGTGAGTATGAGTCGGTGTTGTGCTTGCGAGTGCGTTGGCCACGGCGTATAATTACGAAATACCGGGAATTAATTAAACACATTGTTGGTGCTCGCTGCAGCCCGTTAGACAATCGGTATAAATTACCCCCGCGCGCAAAACAATTAACCTCTTGAGAACACTATACTCGTTGGCAAACCGATGTACACTGTGTGTGTGTATCATAGTCGACACGCGCTCGACCGGTATGTTATTTCCAATACACTCGTCTTATCGTCATAATAACAATAATATAGTCGCCTTTTTACGGTCGAAGCGAACCCGTATCATCAAAGGCACGTGGGACACGAGCTCAGGGCCTCCAAAACTATGTGTGCCCAAAGGGTCCCTACTTAGCCGCCAAGACGGCCCTGCGGTACACGCTTATCCCGTGTGTCTAAACGAACGGTTAAACCCAGCGTGTCCGAAACCAAATTCTGGACTTTTCCAGTATAAGTTATATTACTTCGACATAGTTATGATCGTTGAAACATAATTTAATCATTTCCACGGGAACTTAATTTCAAAAAGTTGTATAGTATAGAATATTTTAAATACCCGGCGACTTTTATACAGGAGCTTATTTTTATTTAATAACGAAAATAAACGTTCTACTAGAATGTATTGAGAATAAATGCAAATTCTGAAATTCGATCGTTAGTTTAAATTTTCTACTTTCTATGTTGTCAATATGGAATTTATCCCTTACCGATATAACTCAGAAGCGAGAACGAATATAGTCTCATCATTCATATGAATTTACTATTTGTTGTTGTTAATCACGAGGAATCGAAGGAATTAATATAACATGTATACTGTGTACAAAAAATTAAAGTAGAAGCGAGATTTATAAAATAAGATTTGATTATTTCACGAAACACATTAAGGATTAGAGTAATGATGTTTTTTATGACTAGCAGACTTAATAAAATAGAATATTTAATTAAATTTAAGTACTTTCCTTTAACATGCGATCAAAAGATATATTTAGCCGGTAGTTAGCTTTTTGTAACCCAGTTTTGAGAAAGTTCGGTAAGCGTAAAGCCTTTTAATAATTTTAAAACAAAATCAATATTGACTAGACAGTCGATTTTGTAAATCTTTTTAGTAAATAACTGACCAGTATTATTATTTATTAGAAAATATCCTTTTTGTCTTTTTTGTTTGTTATCTTAACGCTATAATAAGATGACAATAATAATTGAAAAAATAAATATTCAATTCTGCTATGAAAAAAAAAATATATATTATGTATTTATTATGGACGCAGTGTTTTTATATTGTGCCATATTATAATAGTTATAGGTCAAGACGGGTGTAATTTAAATATTTTTTGTTCTATTTCAAAAGTATTATTAACGACGTTTTAATAATAGGTACTTAAATATTAATCAACTAATTTGTATTTGACGAGAAAAGCTAATATTGTATATCGTATTAATGCCCAATTATATCCCGGGGCCCAAACGAGCCCTGTCAGCAAAATTACTAACGTCACTTCTATGGACACTGATGAAAAAAAAACGGCCGTAGCACAGCCTATATGGAGCATTTTCATAACATATAGCCTGAGGCTAGGGGCTATCTGACCAAGTACGATACTGGGTTCACATTTTTAGGGGGGGGGGGTGTGCTAACTCCGTGGAAACTTCACTAGCCAGATATCTAAAGAGTAAGTTAACTACAAACAAATATTAGGTGTAGGTGTTAAGCAGTGACCCTTCGAGTGTCAAATTAATAGATGATGGCGTATAACGTTCGCTCGGTCTCTCGGCCGATTCGTCCTGGCTAAGGTCTTATTGGTCGGCACCGCACAATATTATGAATGGTTATTATTGCATTTGGTCAGTTATGCTATTAGTATTGCAAAAACGTATGCAGCCTATTTTCTCTTAAGACGGCCCGCGTGGGTTACGCGGCAATGAACGCAACGTTTGTGCGATGTTATTCGCACAACATAATGAAAAATGTTAATTACACTATTTTAATATCACACAACCGAAAAAAACGCTCGTGTTTACTATAAAATCGGATAGTGTGAATTTAATTTAAAAAAAACTTAATTAAAAGTCGGCCGGCGATTAACGGAGAAAATTAAGTTTTTAAACTTTCCAGCCGCGTGTATTTAGTTAGTTGTTAGAAGCGTTTTCAACGTTTGGCCAGCAACGAGGAGTAAAAAAAAAATTACACCAAACAAACCGCCTCCAGTCTTATCTTTAACCTCGGTAAACCGTGTTTAGGTGCATTAACACTTCCCCCCCCCCTCTCGATTCTCTCTATCGACACACACCCTGCTGCGACAGGGCAGAAACGGCGGCGTCGACAATTATTATTATAACTAGCTGCACAGTGCACTATGATAATAAGATATTATACTGCAAACGAGGGTTTCTTTTTTTTCTACGGTAGATCACAACGACAGGCTTACATTTGCCGGAGGGTCGCCATTATAACTA